CAATCTTTTCGTACTTTTTCTACATGTTTTAAAACGTAGGTAGTTATAATGCTTTATCGAGTTCGCTGTCTTTATGGCCGAACAGGACACGTAGCACGTACTCTGTAATGTCATTCGGCAGTCGGCACAACAACTAGTTTATGGAGTCATTTCGTTGTTCCGAGCTCTAACCGTGTTCAACTCGAAACAACCACAGATGTATAGCTAACTGAGATACGTGGATATTTATCTGTTTGCGAAATTATTTACGGTTAACAGCGAAGTAACAAAGGGATAACGTAATGATTTCCGATTTGACGAATGCCACAAATTGATTGAAATAAAAATGGGAAGTCGCGATAAAAAAGTTTGAAATTAAACACACGAGATATTTCTTTAATTTCATAATTGATAGGGAATACATCTTAACAGAGAGCGTTACATAACTTAGCTTATTGATGCCAGAACACATTAAAAACTTGGAGTTAAACCAATAAATGACGCGAAGTCAGTAAAAGTAACTTTTTTAACAATAACAAAGTAATACATTAAAACCTGTGAAAAATTGGACGAAAAGTTTTTCACCACTGCGGTCACCGAACCCACGTATTTCTGGTTCAAACCCAGTCGATTCACCAAAGCTAAATGTCTCATTGCCACACCGACGAAAATCTCAACGTATTTTATCTTAATTACATTTTCGCATTTTAAGCATTGCTTGGCGCATCTATTTTTATCTCCTTCACAGGAAACATGCAATTTTAAATATCGTTTTACAACGATAATGCGAACGAGATAATAACTTGCCCTAGTGGCTAACTAAAAGGCTCAACTTAAGTTAACGCAATTCCTTATTAAGATAAGTTGTGTATTTTATATTCATCTTTCCGTCTTATTATAAATTAGTGTTACAAAGTTAGGTTTTCCCCTACTTAATGCTTCTTTCATCAATTAATTTTGTCCTATCTACGCAGTACGTGCTAACAGTATCCTGCAAATTCAATCAATGTTTAATCTAAAAACAAGTATCACAAATTACAAGTGAGAAGAGTTGTGAAAAGTCTTGAGTTTGTTAATTGGAATTTTCTACCGACTTCAAAAAAAGAAGGTGCTAAATACGGTTATGTTTTTTAATGTTCGTCAGCTCATAACTCCGTCATGAACGATTTTGAAAATTCTTTTTGCATTGGGTTAGCTCCTATGTGGTCCCATATTAATTTCATTGGTATTGAACCGTGAACTCCGGAGACATACCAGGGAAGTCCTCAAAATTAAATAAAAAAATGTACAGCGAGTGAGATATTAAAAGCCGGTCTCTTTTGTAATAAAGATGTACTTGTTACACGCTTAACTTACTGTTTAATCAGTAATCGATTTAGATACAGCGTGGTAATCGATTCAGCGTTTTAACTTATTCGTAACTCGGTGATCGGTTTATACACTGAGCTAATCGATTCAGCGGAGTTCGTTAAACTCGGTTCGGCGAAACTCACCGGCTCATGCCCCCCGGCTAGCAGCAGAAACAAAGCCCCCTTCAATACCGTCCAAGTGACAAACTCATAAGCATTTGTCACCGGACCTAACGTCCAAGTAACCATCCTCCATTCCACCGCCAAACAACGCTGACCCCCCGCTAGGCTACAACGCCCCGCAAAGTTCCCGTTAAAACGACATGCAAGAGCCCAGGGAGGTCAGGGTAAACTGGCCGCGCATTACTTATTGATGCCCCAAAACGTTTAACCGATCCTATTCCAAATTTAAACAAATAATTTACGAACGGTCACTCCCGATGGAAAATGGGCAAATTAGGGCTGTCGAAGGTTAGATATTATTTAAATTAGAATATTTTCATTTATTCTTAAAGATACTATTTATTACTACGTTTCACACTTCAAACTGCATTTTTACTTCATTAATTTTACTGTAACTAATCAAAGAATTAATCATCCCTTGTTATGACAACCATAATGAAACTATAATAAAATATATATAAATATAATAGTAAAATAGAAACTATATTTTTGATATTGAAAATTATTATTTTTGTTTTTTAATAATTTTATTTTAAACATTGCCCTTACTTTAGGATAACATTATCCTGTGTTGTAAGGACATTTTACAATCATGAATATCACGCGGACAAACACCCAGATGCGAAACAACTATCTGTGGGCCACACAAATAGTTGTCCCGTGTGGGAATCGAACCCACGACCCCCGACGCCGAAGCCAATACCTTGGCAACGGCGCCACGGATTCATCGAAAAGAACTCTGCTAAGAATCATTATAAAACGTACGAACTGAAGTACACACTGTACTGTGTGTTTTTATTTTTGAAAGTCTACACGTAATGTCCCAACCCTATACAGAGGATGAATAATTACTGCAACGAGGCACGGGCAATCCAGTTGCGGATTCATTAGTCACTAATAGCAGTAAAAACACGGACAGGATGACGCGTAAGCGTATATTAAACTTAAGTCACGAGAGGAATCTAATTTTCAAAAGCAGAAGGTTGCAGGATATAGTTCACCTGGTATGGAGTGAGCAACACCCACATACATCCAAGACTCCCTTGCATTTATACAGGGTGGGCCGTGATTACCTCATTGGCTAGAAGAAATACAATCGAAATACAGGTCAGATCGTGGCACTTTTTAAGACAAAACAGATCATTAATTATTGTTCAACATCAGAAGCTGGTTAATCTGGAATTTTTCTAAAAAGTCAGGCGTGTCCCAAATTTTTCGATTTATATTTATACTGCTTATATTTAAGCTTCAGGTTTGAAGTCCATTTTTATAAAATATTGTTTTATAACATACGTCGACTTTTTTGTAACATACTTTAACACAAGTCGACGCGCGGCCCCGGTAAGATGAATTATACAATTGAAATTTGTACAATACTTTCATTTGTAAAATATTTGAGCCATGTCACCCCGGACATGGCTCAAATATTATTATATTATTATATTATTCATCTGTTTTAGTGAACAATTAAATCAATTAAGTGTACATACTCATATCGCTTTAAGAAAACATTGGATAGTAATAAAAAACGGTAACATGTATTCAAATAAGAAGTAATGTTTTACTAGCTTCACGTAAAGGAAAAAAAGGTTACAAATGTTTTGAATATGCGACGATGTATATATTTTGAAGCAGTGATATTAGTATTAAAAAAACCTATTTCGTGGGTGGCTAATCATTTTTACATCGATAAATAGGTGTAGTATGCGAGGCGATGTCCAAAAACCTGATAATTTAAGCCAATTCGTATCTGAAGCCATCACGTATATTTAAACTTAACTTTCCGATGAGTTGAAGCTTAGCTGTCTTAACGGTTTTTTTAGAAGTAGTATGGTAAAGTTAACAGTATTCGAAGTTAGTCCACATCTTCGCCTGTACTCGACGAGTACTAATTAAAGATGGTATATAATTATAGTATATACCATTCAATTTATTAGTCACTCCGCAGACCCATCAAATTTATAAAGTTAGTGCGAATGCACCGATATCTTTCATGTCAATATATATAAGTATTTTCACTCCGTTTAGGGTCGTTAAAGTAATGTTCTCGTTCCTGGACAAGTAGGAAACAAAGCTGTGTAATTAGTCGCATGGGGCGGACGTGGCAACTCCTAACAAGTTATTTCGCACTGCCATTTCCTCGGCGTGTTTATTATCCCGTCTGTCCCCAACTAATTTATTGGGCCCTCAGCGCCCTTTGCCCCCAGATGGATCACCTAATTTAACATTAAGGTGTGCCCCCGCGTCCCCATCGATAGACCGTCATAATTCCTCCGCCTTTCTTCTGAGACCATTAAATCGGAAGGGAAAGAATGTATGTTGAAAGTACTCTGTGCAGGAGTTTCGAGATACGTGACAGTTTAGTTCCAACTCATCTGGGTCCTCGTCAGCGTGTATTGTTAGTACTGGTCGTCCAGTGACAGAAAAGTATTTGTTATATTTGAAGAGACAACGATTTAATGCGGGTATATCTTATGTTAGCTATACATTGTTTTATAGAGCTAAGAAGGTAGAAATATAAATACTTTTACCAAATCACCGTAGTTTCACTTTGCACAACAATAACACTGGTATAATAACTTATTTTATCACTTTAATATCACTAATGAAACACCACTCTAACGATTTAATTTATGATACCGATTGGGCAGCACTATCGTGTATAATTCTGGTTTGACAGCCAAAGAAGACGACGACTACGACGAAGACGACCATGAAATGCTTCATGCAGCTACATTTATACCTCATAGAATGACACTTCTTTTAGTGTTGCCAACAACGTCAAAGAACGACTTCCTTTAGTGTTGCCAACACTTATCATTATATAGTATATATATCATTGTGTAGTGGTATATCTTATCATTATGTGCGTTGAAAAAATTGTGAAGAAACCTGCATATTTTAGAAATAATAACAAAAAAAAATATTTCGAAGATATGTGAAGTAGGCCAATCCGCAGAGGGGCCGCGTGGTGGACTATGCCCTGATAACCTCTGTACAGAGGAGGCCTTTGCCCAGCTGTGGGACATGTTTAAGCTGTTACTTCACTTTTTTATGCGGGTATATAAAATTTGTAGGATGCCAATTATGAACTACATTTTCGGCAGCTTGTAGAGTGTATAATAAAGTGCACTCCGATATATGTCTAAATAGCTAATCTTTTCTGTGACCCTTTATGTAGACCACTCATGAGACTGTATATCCTGTGCTAACTAGTAATAGTAACTTTCATATCTCAAATTTACATTAATACTGTAAAGGTATAAGTAAGCCTAATAAGTCTTGAATTGGATTGTTCAAAGCCTTAAATTACGAGCCCACCGTTTTCCATGTTGGTCAAACTCTTTGAAAGCAGAAGCCTCATTCGCTTCGAACCCTACGTCACACATTCTAAGATGTGTGCGCTAGCGACGGGGGAGAAATTCAGGAGTCCTCAACTTTGACTCTTACTTTATTCACCCCCCTCAGTAGTAACGAACAGGATCGGCAATGGGCGAGGCGGTAAACGGGCTAAATCTGCAACGGGGAAGCGTGCTATCCGATCGCGTCGATCTACGGCGGCCGTCGGGCATAAATCGGCGCGGCCGGCGCAGCGTAAAGCACTCGGTGTCCTACAAGGATGCCCACTCAGAGCGAGATAGTGGGACACCGGCCTTATCTCGCCCGGTGACAAATACCGGCGGGCATTGTGCGCGAGGGAATACGGACACCGTCGTAATCAAAGCCCCGCGCGCTAACAAGTGACCGTCGGCAGATAGCGCGCGGCTATCGTCGATTTAAAAAACGAACGCCGTAAATCGATTCCGTGGGGGGGATGTTTATGGTTCGGACACGCGGGCCCGGCGTCGGATATCGCGCGGTCGGTAGGCGGCTTTTGAGGGAAGCCCCGTTTTGAAGCTTGATCGGTACATGCGATATTAATAACGTATCGTGGTGACGTCACGTTGTAGCTCGGAATAGACGCTCTCACCCGTGACTACGACTGCGTGGTTCTTTTCGCGAAAGTTACTTAAATCGTACATTTATCTATCATGAACTGACCTATCGTAATTAATATTCAATATCGTAGTAATTTTTTGTTATTTCCAAATATATTTATTTTGATAATATATTTTTTAATGTGTGAAGGCGATAAGCGAGCTGTCGGTTCACCTGATGTTAGGGGATAACCGCCGTACCTATGTGCGGCAGGCTCCACTTCACACCGGTCCTCTACGAGGTCGTGGTACTTTCCCGGACGGACCTGCCAATTTGTGCAACAGCCGATTGTGTGGCCCCACCACAGTTAAAGTGTGACTTGGTTCCTTATCCCACAATTGTCTATCATAACCTGACTATAACAACAAAACTAATATTCAAATATCGTAGTATACTTTTTTTTTATTATATATCTTAATTGAGTATTGCATAACTCCCAGCGTTAAATTTAGTAACACACACGTACACAAATACGTACACTTTTATAGACATTAATACGATATTTTAACCTCGCTAAAATAAGATTCAAGACGAAACTCCATCGTAATCCCTGCCCATCTTGTGGCGTTCCTTCACACGGTGGGATGTCCAATAAATTATCGCGGAGCGGGTATAATCGAATTACGATTTACGATTTCGCTATATCTGCCGAAGCTCGTGTCGCCCTGGTACTTTTTGATTTTTTGTTGTCGCTTGAAATATTGTCAAGCCAACCGCGTGTGGGTGAATGCGAGTGTTGATGCTTTGGTTTAAAAATACAAGCGCACTGACGCCACAATCAAATATCGGTGCGTTAGTAACAATGGGCCCACGCACGAATGGGTGGGCAGATATAACTAGTTTTGTAGTTGAAATGGCGTATTATGGCCCAGCAACTTTTTTTTATGCGAAAGTTGCCAAGCGAGCAGGTCCACCTGATGTTAAGTAAATGTCGCCGCCATGGATATCTGCTACACCCGAGGTTTACAGATGCGTTGACAACCTTTTGAAAATTGGGCTCCGGCTACCTCACTCACCAGACGAACGCTGTAAAGGGTTCGAAACGTCGGGAATTAAAATTAAACATAAACGCGATAAATCCATAAAACTAGTTTCATTTATAATGTGTAATCGCGTAAATACAAGAAATTATATTGTCTTTCACTAATTATTTGGTCGGTCTGCTTCAACGTTGTCATAAATTCAACGTAGGGACATTTAATTTCAACAACCTTTCTAAACGTCGTTCCATCTTCTAAATGACGGTATTAAAACATTCTATTCAAAAACTGTTATTATTTATTTAACAAATAACTTCTGCAACATTTACTAATAACACTTAATGGGAAAATGAAACCTGATTATCAAATTTAATGGCTGATTTAGATGGCGTTTCTTGGATCAGTTTTACTTACTAGTTACGTAATATTACTGTCTTACTGTCTTAGTAAATTAAATGTTGCTATAGAGACTTAAGCTAACATTTAAATGCAATCTATTGTGCCACGAAGTTTTACAATAGACCTTCGTCTCTAAGGTCCCCTGAATTTGAGGGAAAAGGGTTTGACCACTGACGTAAGAGCGTCTTCACATTAATTATCATGCCAACTGCAGCCGCAGACTCCCTTATTTTGCCAATCTTTGCCAAGTCAGAGTGAAGGTCCTTCACTTTACTTTTGGTACAATTAGGTATTGTGAAGTCATATTCTATACTGGAGGTTACCTCCTGGTATTAGATACTAATGGTCCACTAACTTGGTACACGGATTTACAAAAACAAGGTCCGGAATTCTAATCCCAGTGGCGTGCACCAATAAATGTGTGAGTTTCAAAATTATTTAAGTGTGAATATTAATATACATCCATGGTGTAATTGATGTATAGTGTAATAGTCCCCCGCCAATCTTAATTAGAAATAAATATACTCTGGTTGAAAGCTGAAGTGGCAATGGGCAGGCAACATCATTCGAAAAACCGCAACCGCTGGCGCTGGATGCAAATGGCAAAGTGTCGTTCGTTGTGACGTTCTAAGGGGGAGGTCTATGTTCAACAGTGGACGTTTTACGGCTGATGATGATGAAGATGACGATACTCTGGTGAAAGTGAACTTTAGTTAATCTCGACCGGTTTTGTGGAAAACGTAATCTTTTACTTCTTTACCTCCATTACTCACTTACTAACATATATTACAATCACTCTATGAAGGTAAAGCTACACTATAAATAGTCTTATGTCCCATGTGTGTGTGCTTATGTCGCAGAAGTATCATAGCCACATATAGGCACACGTTTTTAAATAATACTATTACTTCACCGATATTTTACCTTTTCGCGTTTATTTACGATTTTATTCCTTGGCGTTTCAATGACATACACCGTAGGCCAGGATACTGAGACTGTTTGTATGTCATAGTGTCGTAGTTAATCCGGGCTACTTTAAGGTTAAATGTGGTTTACTGAAGGCTTTTTTAAGGTTAAATGTGGCTCACTATGTTGAAGAGTGGTTACTTAACACTTCTGCGACCCCACTGATATTTGGTGAGCCCCTGCTAGATCCACCCACGCCGTGAGCCGTACCTCATGCCTATAAATTTTTTTGAAATAGGAACAAAAAATTGAACACATTATTTCACAATGCCTTACCTTATATATTTATTTTGATCCAACTTTGTGCTAATGTAACTTATAAGCTGACTATGACTATTACTGATATATGTTAACGGTATTTGTGATATGAAACTTGACGGAACAGATGCGCTTATGTATGCAGATGACACTATTTTAATTTTTCACCATGAACAACATGGACGGCAGTACAAGCACTAGCTGAAAAACAGGTCGGTAAGGTGTCAAGTATGATCCAAAATAGTCTTCTAACACTTAATATCGAAAAAACTAAATATTTATGTTTCAGTATAACGAAGGCCCCCATACCAACTTTGAATTAAAAATGCCCGCATATCCCTGCAATACTAAACTATTTTGTACCACTAATAATGAATGTAAGTGTAAAATTTTAGAACGAGTTAACCAAATAAAATACCTTGGAGTAACCGTAGATGAGAATTTAACATGGAATCAACATATTAAAAATGTAGCTAATAGAATAAGGAAATTAACATATATATTTTTAAAAATCTTAGAGATGTCGCAGATCTTAAGCTATTATTATACAGCGTGTCGTTATCATCGCGACAATAAATGAAAACACATTTAGGGGATAACTTTTTAAAGTTGTATTAAACATTTAAATTCTTTAAACATTAATATTTACAGTTATTAAATTTTCCAAAAAAAAGAATTTTAAAACACCCTTACCTATAAAAGCGTAACGTAAAGTTCATTTGGAAAGGTCTTAAAACATATGAATGGGTTGAATGAATTTAAAAGAGACAAAACATACTGTCAGAAGGAGAGGCTTGTAATACGACGCTGTGGATGATGCTACTGAACAAATTCTAGATACCATGAAGTAACACACACACACACATATGGACACACACACACACACTTTATTATTTTATAACTTTTTTAAATAGGATCTCATTTGAAATAGAATATGGCAGTGAAATTTTGGATTATATGTAAAAATGTGAAGGGCACTGACTTCTGTAAAACAGGGTAACCTAGCACAGGAGTCAGAGTTCAAAATATCGTACATTACCTCTTCCAATTTTATAAATGTGATTTCATTGTGTTTTCTCTTTTTGTATTGGTTGCATGAATAAATAAATTATTATTACTATTATTTATTTATTTACTTTTTATCATTAAAAGTGAAAAATACAGAAAAAAGGAATACATTACAAGATCAAAAAAGAACTATCTGAGGTCATATAAAGATCATTTTGAGGGCGCAAAGTCAGCACGGGAACTGCTCGCCAATAATTTCGTCAACGTTCGGAATAAACAACACTCTTTGTATGTGGTCGTTTGTTTTTTTGTTTATACTCGACGCGAGACAAAGGGCATGTGTAATTACTTGGAAGGACGGGAGGGCGCCCTGCGGAGTGACGCCGGGTTCGAGGCCATTGGAATCCTACCTCTCCGATTTATGGCGTTCAGCGATTTTCGCGGAAGCGTTTACGCACGCTCAGTTGTGACGGAGTGCGGTATTGGCTGCGCTTTGCCGATTTTAAAATCGAAACTTCTTTGCGCGCATGAAACTGAAACGCCGGTGCGTCATGGAGTAAACGTCACGATAAACTGTCGCGGCCATGACAGTTTTTCGTGACAACGCTTGCTCTTGCGTCACGGGGTTAGCTCGATCGATGTCGACCCGATTGACATATTTTTCTTCTTTATCATTTCCTCGCTAATGAGGATCGTGACCGTAATTTTATCTCCATTTGCGTTGGTGTTAGTTTTTGAGCTTAACAAGAGTTTGAAACAAGTCTAAAATTGATAACAATACTTGAAGTCTCACTTTAAATTTGGACTCCGTTTCAATAGATGACTCCGTGGCGCAGTTTTCAATATATTGGCTTTAGCACCGGGGACTGCGGGTTCGATTCCCGCACGGGACAACTATTTGTGGGACTCGCCGATAATTGTTTCGGTTCTGTGTTTGTTCACGTGAAATTTATGTTTGTAAAACGCCGTTGCAACACAGGATCATGTAATCCTACAGTAAGGGCATTGTTTTTAAATAAGAAAAAGAAAGAATTCGCGACCCCCCAGTATTCCAACGACTGAGAGATGGTTCAAACGTTCGCAGTCATCTGTGTATCGTGCACAACGTTACGATACCGTAAAACGAAACGTAAAACTCTAGTAAATTGGGAAGCGCAATAAACGAACAAGTCGTCGTAAATCGCCACTCGCGCCCCCGTAAACTTTAATAACCGGTAAGAGCTGGCCTAATCATATCCATACTTTAGGAGGACCCTTGGGCTCCCACCTTGAATCTTGCAGGCCCCGGTGGATAGGTGATACGGCGCTTTAGCAAATGTCCCTCGTTCCAACACAGGGCCGGACTGAAAGTGGAATATCGGTAAATTCAAAATATCAAAGCATATTATAAGTAAATTTTTGAAGACATTTGATACATTACATTGAACATTTAACGACCCGAATGGCACGAGTGGGTGGCGCCAGTGGTGGTGGGGATCGAACCCCACTACTGGAGAAATATTGTGTGTGATGTATGTATGTATGTATGTATGTGTGATGGAGTATGTGATATTTACATAGTGTTTTCCTAGTGTCTGGGTATTTATTTATGTATAATATGTATTTACTTAAAGAAAAGTATGTTTAAGTATGTTTATCAGTTGTCTAGTAGGTACCTATTGTACAAGCGTTGCTTAGTTTGGGACTAAAAAACGCAGTGTAAAAATGTGTCCTAAAATATTTATCATTATTATTAAATAGTATCAATAGGAGAAGAAGCATGATTAGTTTTTCCTTATATCGCCCTAGAAGCAAATATTTCCAATTATGTTTGCTTTTTCTATCCCGAAAGTAACGACCATTATCTGATCATAACGTGATTTTATCGAAAAACGAAACAATAAGATTATAAATCCTTAGTATATTTATATTACTTACTATGATCATAAAAAAACTGATTTAAATTTCGAAATAAAACCAATACACAAACAAATATGAAACATAAAAATGTTTGAAAACCACGAAACGAACTACTTTCGAATGTACGCAATCGCGTTTAAATTCCCGAATCCGCCACCGGGTACAGTCATCAATACTAACGGTCGCACCCCGAGAGAGTAGTACAGTCGCTGCGAAAAATCATTCCGACGCTAAAATATCAATAAAACACAAACGCCCGGCCGTAGCCCGAGCCGCACGGGAGCCGTTGCGATCGCGTTCGAATTACAAATGTGCCCCAAATACCCCGCCCTTTTGATGGGACAGTTTATTTTTTCGTAACGGCCATACCCGACCGCGGCTTAGTGCTTTATGAGATTTACATTTGCCCGTGTCTTTTTATTGGCCGCGTAATAGCCGAAGCGTGCGGCGAGCGGAGACAGTGCCGATGAAAAATTCAGTCCCAGCGCCGCGTAATGCTCTTTTCGAAAAACGAAAACCTTTTATGGATCAACGATAGAGTTGTTTTTGTTTTGAATCGTAACAGACATGTCACGATTTAAAAAATATTGAATAGAGGTGGCGATATAGTTGATTTCGCATGTTATCGCTTTTCGTCCTTGATATAATTTAATAATAATATTATAATTTAATTTTAATATCTTTAATGAAATGCATTACAACTAAACATTTATTTAATGACAAATAAAACTTCAGTTGTTAATAAAAGTTGTACGTGGTGTGCATTCTAGCGTGTTGAAATCGTAAATTCAAACACCAGCAGCTTTTACAATTTATAGTTAAATGACAACAAATCATTTTGCTTACCAAGTTAATAATTAATAATTAAGCAAGTTAATAAGATGAACTTAATTATAACAATTTCACTATTGATCTAATAATTTAGATGTTTCGTGCATGTTACTTTATAGGTAGGTATAATATAAAATTTCCTAATATAAAATGAGAAAGCTGAAACACTGGCAAGTTACAATTTAAAAAAATTGTGTGTTCAATACTTGTATATTGCTTGTTTTTAAAACTAAAGAAATTTAAAGTAAAACGCACCTATTTCGGTATAACTTTACTCTCGCCCCACTCACTTCTATATGGAACCGATCGATCTTCCTTGTCCAGGGACATCAAGTGGCCCCTACCTTAAACATTGGGGACGATAAGAGGGCATTTATTGGAGGTAATTAAAAAGAAAACAGAAAGCCCCCAGCTGATCGAACGTGCGTAGAACACTAAGGCTACTTTTGTTTGCACTAGGCATGAGCTTCAAAATTCAACTCTTATCGATACATTTAATGTGAATTATTCTATTAATGATTTCACGTTGATAACGAATTTTATTAGGATTTTTTTAGACTGTAACATGGTTATGTATATAAAGGGGAAAGATAATTAAGAAGCTTAACGTACTAAATAATTATGTCAAGAATAAGGCGGGCTACCGTTTTCTGTCTGTACGTACAATGGGCAAGAATGATTTCACCGTGGTAGGGCCACGCAGCAGCCTTGGCTGTTGCACGAATGGGCAGTTCCGTCCGGGTAAGTACCACGATCTGACAGAAGACCGGCGTAAAGTGGAAGTATAACACTTTCTGGTTTCGTCTGGTGAGTGAGGTGGCCGGAGCCCAATTTTCAAAAGGTTGTCGACGCACTCTAGAACTCTCGGGTGTAGCAGATGTCCATGGGCGGCAGTATTAACTTAACATCAGGTGAACCGTCTGCTCGCTTGGAAACTTTTCACATAAGAAAATGATAAGTTCTTGTTACAACAGGTTTTAAACAACATTTTTTAAAACATTGCACCCTTACTTTAGGATAACTGTATGACTTGCTCTCTTGTCTCTACGGTTTAGTTTAAATATTAAATTTTTTTATCTGTTTTCTATGGGCAGTGTCATACGGGGAAGTACCACGGCTTCAAAGAAGACTAGCGTGAAGTGGAATTATTATAGTTGCTCATTTCGTCTGGTGTGAGGCAACTGGGGTCCACTGTAAAAAAACATGTCGTTAGATAAAAATACAAAAATATTATATATGCATTCGAGTTCACGTTCTTTGCAATTTTATATAAAATAAAATCTTCATAAACATTAAGATCTTGTCCTTTCGTTCAAAAGTAATTAAAGATTTTTGATGCCGTCGAGAAACATGTTCGTGTGTTGATTGATTATAAAGTTAGCAAACAAAAGTTTGTTGAAACGTACAAAAGACAAGAAAAATTAACGTATATCTTTAAAACCAGTTGTAATAACAATCGATAACTTTAAAGTAACATCACTATATAAGAGATCACAAACCAGTCCGGTTTAAGAGGACTTATCGGTGGCGACCGATACCAGAACTATGTTTGAACGTAATTTATTGCCACCCCATAAAAATAGGTAGCAAAATAAACCTTGCGTTTTAGAATTTAGTATTACTCAGGTAATAGAATTCAAATTACATAACGGCAAGGTAGTACATAAAGGTGTTGCAATTTATGAATTACTGTTATTTTAAACTGATTCTTCTATTACTTATATTAATAAAATAATCATGAAAAGATAATTTTAAAAGTTTGTAATACCCGAATTTTTTTTTTTCATTTACTAACATTACATATGATTTAAAACTATTTTTACAAATCAAATTTCTAATTATAACATCCTTTTAAAATTATCTTTTCATTGTTATATTATTAATTTAAACAATAGATGAATGCTTCTAAAATTATCTCATTTCTAATTTAATCTGTTACTGATTACAGACGACTTGGTGCGGTTAAATATGTAGCACCTACATTTCTCTATTACGACACCCCTTTTCAATGTGGACTTAAAATCAACGCCCATAAGGAAGAACTGTAAAGAGTTTTCCAACTACTGATGGCACGAACTATCAACTATCAATAACGCTTAATTTGATGATCGGGCGAGAGATGTAAAAAATACTATTGAATCATATAACAAAAGCCATAATAGAAACTTCAACAAAATAACATCAATCTTCTGGAAATTATACCATAGCAGAGGTATATGGAAGTCTTATAAGGATAGACTTTCGCCAATGTCCATACCACGTTGAGTACACCGGTTCTCGTCCGCTCACCGAAGTTAAGCAACGTCGGGCGTGGTCAGTACTTAGATGGGTGACCGCCTGGGAACACCGCGTGACGTTGGCTTTTTGCTGCTGAAATTTTCAACTTTTTTGTCAACTATTATCATTACTCTAATTGTACCTACCTGTTACATATTTTACATGTTTATCATCTGTATATTATTGGCTGGTGAAGGCTCAAACCCACGCAGCGGCGTAAAATTTTATGTCGTAAAATGATCTGGAATCGAAAAAAAAAGTAAAAAAAATAAGTGTGTAAATGATCGTGACACGAACCACGGCCTTCTGTTTCGGGGCCGCCCGATTAACGACCGAGCTACTATAACATTTTTTATTTTGGTGAAATTTACCATCGTAATCGAATGATATTTTTCATTCCCTGAAAACTGTGATAAAACGACATTTTCTAAAAACGAAACCTAGATTCTTCGCCCCCGAATCTACGCACATACTAGGTTTCATGAAAATCGCTGGAGCCGTTTCCGAGATTCCGATTATATATATAAGATTATTCCATCAGGTGACAACGGGCGCGTTTGCGACCATTTGCTTAAAAAAGAAAAAAAAAGTCGATCTTGATTGCCACATTTCGATAAAGGTATCGATCGTTCTTCGCTTTAGCTGTCAATGGGTCGTTGACCCGTCGCGCGGGCCTGCCCGCTAGATTTCCCGTGGCGCATCAAAGGCGAGAGATGTCGCTGCGATTGCGGCTGATATACTCCGCCGGCAGCAGCAAAGACCCGCCTGCCATTAACCGATATGACAAGACTATAAAGTAACCTCGCGGTGGGACGAAGTAGAACCGACATCGCGGTATGCTCCACTTGGAAAATTCAAAAAAAAAGTTATAAGTACAGAGATTAGCACTATAAAAATAAAATTTCTAAAAAAAAATTATAAAATTAAACATAGATTTATACATGTTACACTCTAATGAAGTTCTCCCCTGGCTGGGACATTCAATATAAAAGGATGAAAATGTATTATACTATTGTAGATAACTCTGTGAAATTTTCCCGCATTATTATAATAATGTTGTTTAAATAAGTATTGATCAAGTTGATCGATTCCATTTACCCCAAATATATACGAATCAAAAGCTTATTTATATTTAGAAATACATTTGCGTTTATAGCGGGTAAGAATAATAGATGACATTACTTTTTAAATTTTGATTTGATATAATTTAGAAGAATTATGTAATTATAATTACAAAGGACTGCGGTTCACTTGATAGTAAGTGATTACAGTCTCCCATAGTCGATTTGCTGCGTTGCTCTACTGCAGAAGAAAAAGGATAAATTCTGCCACAAAAACGAGGAAATTCTTGTCCTTACTTCATTACTAATATTATAAACACAAAAGTTTGTATGTATGCATGGATGTTTGTTACTCTTTCACGCAAATACTACTGAATTTATTTTATTGAAACTTTACAATAATATAGCATATACATCACACATTTATGTATATCTGTCTTTCTGTCTGAATGTTACGTCTTCAGCCTGTTCTACGCAGACGTTGTCGCGGGCGGCAGCTAGTAAATAGTAAAAATGCGTAGCGTTCACACGACCGTTTGAAAAGTAGCAGAGCGCCTTCCCCCGCGAGACGTTTGTGGCGCAATATTTCGCGCCGTACACACATTACGGGCCGATCGTTTCGCATTATATTACGGCGGGCGTTGCGTTCGGCCCGTTTTCGTGGCGGGCACCGAACCCCGCACCGTGTCGGAGGACCACTAACAATAAATAACGAGCCGGACACGAGCCACTCATAACGTATCAATTGTCTTTATGGTCGATATTTTTATTATTCATCCGCCGCTTCAGCTCACGGAGCGATCACATCTCGGCCCCGAACTATTTTTCGTCGGCGGATAACGCGGGAGACGAGAAACAACGCGCCGAGATATTCACATGACGGCGTATACATTGCGTGTCCGCGACGCAAGTGTTAGTAACGGTTGCCGCCTGACGATTTAATGGATGCGATGAATGGTGAAATATTAAAAATTGGTGCGACAGATGGGAGCGGCGAGAATGTCCTATATCGGGTAAATCAGCGAAATACTACAGATACATAAAATACCACAATCTCTCACATCTTTTACCCCCAAGGGATAGACAGAGACCGCACGAGTTACATATGTCTCTCGGATCTGAAATCCGAAAGCAACAAAAATGTCAAAATGACTTGGGAGCTTATGCTCCCTTGAGTAAAATTAAAGTGAGTGGAGTGAGTTAGAAACGATAAGAGATGAAAGAAAAAACCTTATTTTATTTGAGAACGTGGCAAGCGAGTTGGCGGTTCACCTAAAGTTAATCGATAACCGCCGCCCATGGACATTTGCAACACCCGTCGGGTTTCAGATGCGTTGTCACCTATTAATAAAGTGGGCCCCGGTTACCTCACTCACCAGACAAAACGCAGAATTATAAGACTTGCACTTCGCGCCAGACTCCTGTGAGGTGATGGTACTTGCCCAGACGTGCAAAAGAGACTGTTGCGTGGCCCTACCACAGGAATACCACTTCGTCTGCTTATCAAGGTGACTTTCTTAGAGGTTATACTTAAACATTTATAAGTTACCAACACTACCCGGCAATACCATGTAAAAGTAAAGCGGATTTACAACAGTTTTCACGACTCACCAGATCATTACAATCATCACAAACAGATGAGTGGTTTAGGAACGCATAGATATTTTTATGAATATCCAGAAAAGATGAAATTGAAAGTCATTAAGACTTAAAACTTCACACTAAAGCGTATAACTTTCTATAAAAAACATATAATTTCACTATATGTAGCAGAGCTAACATAGAGTTGTTAGCTCTACGTATATGTCCATGGATGCGTTATAGTGCTTCTTAGTAGCTCCTCCACCAGGTGACGTAACCGGGGCGCATCCTGCTAAATTTTGAATAATATTTTTTTTGTTTTAAACAAATTGCCAATAGATGGCATTATAATACGTTCTTTACAATAAATTTTTGAACGAATGTTTTTTTTTTTTTAACTTTATTTTATTTGTTTACCTTTTTTATGTAAGACGCCGAGCGAGATAGCGTTTCACCTGATGTTAGGTGATAACCTACATTTACAATACATTTAGGATTACAAAATATGCGTTGCCACATTTGAATAAAGTGGGCCCCGGCGACCTAACTCACTAGGCGAAACGCAGAAGTATAACACTTCTTCCACTCCTTGGCTTTCTGTGATTTCGTAGTGCTTCCCCGGACGGACCTGCCTAGTCGTGCAAAGATTGCTGCGAGGCGCTAGCACAGTAGTTTTCAACAATAACGGCAATAATAAGCCTAAAAATGTTTTTGGAATCATTAAATTTGATGAAGAACTGAATTACGGTGGTAGGGCCACACAGCAACCTCGGCTGTTGCACGAATGGAGTGGCTCGTCCGGGTAAATACCACGATCTAACAGAAGAGCGGCGTAAAGTGGAAGTATAATACTTTTCGTCTGGTGCCTGGTGAGTGAGGTGGCCGGAGCCCAATTTTATAAAGGTTGTCAACGCATCTGCAACCCTCGGCTGTAGCAGATGTCCATGGGCGGCGGTATTCACTTAACATCAGGTGAACCGTCTGCTCGCTTGGCAACTTTTCACATAAAAAAAAAATATGCCGTACCGAGAAAAACCGTTTGAGAAATAATAATAGTATATCGCTAAAACGCCGAGTACCGCGATGGATACCCTAAAGTCATGCACCCTACCGGTTTTTTAACAACACTACTACATTTAACGTCAAGAAATCATGGCGTTGATTGATTTTTAGACAAACACTACCCAAACTGGTTGTTAGAAGAGCGCCGTCTCGTATTTAATCATGTAATTTACATCGTTCCAGTACAGATCTTGGACAAATAGCGCGTCGTGTCAAAAACATAAGCCAATACTTGAACAGTGCAATGAGTAACGTTGTTCTATCAATTAGACTTCTTAACTTTCAGTTTTGATGTACGACGTGTTTGGAACACTATTCTAGTCAGGATGCCAGTCTTTAATTCAAGAGCCAGCGATGAGACGGTTCATGGGGGAAATGTACATGTGAAATGTGTAGAAAAACACCATAACGTCTGTCAATCTGCACTGGAGTCACGTGGTAGAATATGCCCTAATACAGATGAAGGAGCCTTTATTTAACCATGTCAAATACATAAACATACAGTCTGTTACTTTATTCCGTTCAAATATAACATTCTAATTCGCCGTCAGTAAGAGAAGCCAGTCATTATCAACGCGTTTATCCCATAAGGAGATGAAAAGTATTTCTCTATTATTTTGTGATACTTACATTCGCTCAATTGTAATATCGAAGATTGTGTGCGCGTGTGAAACCGGGACAGTAAGTTTGTTTTAAAATCAATCAATACATTTGCTCTTTTTTATGTGAAAAGTTGTCAAGCGAGCAGATGGTTCACCTGATGTTAAGTGAATACCGCCGCCCATGGACATCTGCTACACCCGAGGGTTGCAGATGCGTTGACAACCTTTTGAAAATTGTGCTCCAGCCACCTCACTCACCAGTCGAAACGCGAAAGTATTATACTTCCACTTTACGCCGGTCTTCTGTGAGGTCGTGGTACTTACCCGGACGACCCTGCCCCTTCGTGCAACAGCCGAGGCTGCTGCGTGGTCCTACCACCGTAAGTTTTAAAATAAATTCGTAATCTTATGAACAACATGGTTAAAGAATCATTTTAATAAAACCGCTCTCGAATGTTCTGCAGTTGGCATAAAACAAAAAAAAACCTATTTTTCGGCAAAAGTAAATACTTCTTCTGTGAGGCCTTCGTACTTCTGCGGGCGAGCCTGCCCATTTATACAACAGCCGAAGCTGCTATGTAGTACATATCCCACGGCTGGGAAAAGTTTATTTTTTTATTTTCCTCACGGTGTTTGCTTTTACCGCCGAGCGTAGTTAACCAGCACTTAAAATGGCTATTTGAAAGGTTACATTCATTGTACTGAATTGTTTTTGCATAAAGTTTTGTTTGTCGTGATGCAATAATGAATAGGTTTTCACTGCGCTAGTGTGCCTACCACCTAAGCCAACACTGAGTGTCATGTTGTCACAGCAGTCGACCTACTAGCCAATTCGCAATTAGCAATGTTAACGTCAGTTTAACATTCTTGAAACATTGGCGATTTATCGTCCGCGAACGATAAATCGCCAAACGATGAGGTCGCAAACACATTCCGCCGTCCACTGTCATCGGCGCTAAGCCGTCGTAAATTACTCCCGGCTGGCAACATTGTGCCGGGCGAATATTATTTTAATATCGAATCGAACGACAGGGATTCTTCTCGGAAAGCGAATAACGCCTTTGTCCGTCGTACATCCTCGAGTCTCTAATAAAGTGTCACATAAAGTAAAATGAGTAAGCGAGCCAGATACGGCCCGCAGGCCAGTTCTAAGAACGCCATCCGATACATTGTCGCCAAGCCTCGAGTATAATTTACACTGCGACATTCGTTTAGCAAGCGCTTAATACGTTCGTCCCGATCGGAGGCTTTGGCGGATTTCTTTTTTGCGTTTGACGTGCGATCACGGCTGTCGGATTGCTTTTGCCGTCCCGAACTGAAACCCGTTTCTGTTTGACAGTTCGATTTAGATGTCTTATTATTTCGTATGGATGTAGGTACCTCGTGTACCTTTGCATGGAAAAAAATAAGCTTGTCTAAGCCAAATAAAGTCTTCGCGGGCCACACCACGCTTAAAGACCACCTCCAACCCCTCCTCCTCAATGAACAAAG